TGTTATCTTATAATATTAATTTTTAATGTTAAACTTTCGTAAAAAAGATGTAAATAAATTTACAAAATAAATTTATCTAATTGATTTACTCTTTTAAATTTACCCTAATTTTGTGATATCCAATTGATATTTTTTCGCGGCGTACAAGATACGTTTCTTGTCTTGATTTCACCACGTAAACTTCGATTCTATGTGACTGATAGCTGTCATAACCATTCGTTACACGCATCGATAAATGGTGAATCGCACTCTAAAAATTTTTGTGTATTCCAAAAATCATCGAAAAATAAGTATCCTTTCTGCCCATAACTGTGACATGTATACATATTGGCAGGAATGACGTCTCCCGGCGTTCGAAGCGCGACGCTACACACTCGTATCAAAGCGCACACGTACGTGTTACTGGAAGCGCGGAGGGAGAAAGTAGTGGAGGGGGGGAGGGGGCCTCCGATATTCTGTCCTTAGCGCAAGGCGCACGATTGAGAGAGAAAGCGTAATTGGACGTGATGCCGGCTCGCGGTGTCCTTTCGCTGTCTCACATTTGTTACTAGTACGAATAAGATACACCCGTGTCTCTCGCTCGTCAATATTCATAACAATATACTTTTATTATGCACAAAATGTTGTAATTATGCATAAAAATTTTTAATACTGTAAAAAAGTTTTGTGCATAATTATTACGTGTAATTTTGAGACTCATTGTAATAGCTTTGCATGCATTTATAAATTTGCAGTGTGCAAATGAAATTAACATTTTGCGTGTTTCACTTGTACTAGTAACAAACGTGTGAAACAGCGAAAAGATACCGCGAGCCGGCATCACGTCCAATTACGCTTTCTCTCTCAATCGTGTGCCTTGTGCTAAGGACAGAATATCGAAGCGCCCCCATTATTTTCTCCCTTCGCGCTCCTCGCCTCCTCCGCGCTTCCAGTAAGGCCGGAATCAGATTAGGCATTAAAGATTGAGATTGAAGATTGAAAGATTGAAATTTGACCAATCAAAAAAATAGGAAATTCCTTTGCCCTCATTGGTCAAATTTCAATCTTCAATCTTCGATCTCAATCTTCAATGCGTAGTCTGATTCCGGCCTAACACGTACGTGTGCGCTTCGGTACGAGTGTGTAGCTCCACGTACCAGGGACACCATTCCTGCCGGTGCATTACACAAATATACTTTTCAGTTATAAATACATTAAATTTAATATCTCATGAAATTAAATTCAAATTGTGTAACTTAAAAGTACATTAAATTTCATGAAATTTTTAATAGTGTAAATTAAATGTTAATGAAATTCAAGAATATTTCTAACAGTGCATTTTTAGATGTTTCAGCAAAAGCTTTCTTTCCATGTAGCTTTCAAGATCGTTAATCGTATCGCATTGCATCGTACTACTCGATTGCCCGAGAGCGAACGAGCGCAGATCTAGGTACAAATGTTTATAAATAAGGTGTATACAACCCCATAAATAAGATATGGTCATCCCCTCTATTTTTCGATCTAGTAGAAATCAGAGAGAAACAGAGAATGACAGGGATGAAGAAAGATCATGAGAAAAATGCTGAATGTTCGACAAGGCGAAGGTTCTCGTTGTACAAATTATTTTTGCGGATGAAGAAGTAACTTCGTTGCGGCAGAGGTCGAAAACGGGAATAAAATATCGTGTAAAGTTAAGAAAATCAATGAATTTGTGTATTATATGTATGCATGGATGTATGCTCATTTTCTATTTTTTCTCGTCGTTGATTTTCGTTCTTTATATCAAGCATGAGAAGGAGAGGGAGAAAAAGGATAGAAGCAGTTATGTAAATATATATATATATATTATAATGTGAAAAAGGAAATAATTATAAATTATAAAAGAGGATTGTACATGTGTATCAACTCTGTACGACATAAATTAATTTATATAGGACGGAAGATATACGTACGTCTTCTTTGTTGCCATGTGGAAATTGAGAAGCGTATGTAAAGCTTCGATTATAAAAATTATCCCTTTTTATATAAATTCTTGTGTATTGTACCCTTAATGATTCCATTCCTCTTTATACACAATTAATCCCTACGCACTTTTTTTATTTTAAATCCTTACAACTCGAACTTTAATCAAAATTTTTAGGCCGTAATTTAGGGATAAAAAAAGAGTCACTCTTTTCGAAAATTTAGTTGACGATAGGAAAAAACATCTAATGAAAAGAAAGATAAAGGTTGAAAGTGAAAGTAAAAAGAATAATTGTGATCTAAAAATTATAATCTAAGTTATAAGGATTTAAAAGAAAAGCACGTAATAGTCTTCTGAGACTTAATGAATTAATTACAATTAATTACAAATTCGAGATATCTAACGTCGTTCGTTAATTCTAAGAAAACTTCCGGATTCTCTTGACATGCTTCCTGTATGGAGAATTTAAAATTAAAACTAATTCAGATATAGTTTTAAATTATATGAAGATTTGCACACTACGCTACTATTTTGTAGCATCAATAAGTTACATTAATTGTTTACTTTTATTTTTTTATGAAATTTTTTTTCAGAAACAGTACTACTTTCCCTTTTAGTTGCTCTATCAATACTACAAATCCAATCGTAATACACATTTAAATAAAATCTAAAAATGTATAACTAGATGCCAGGTTTCGGGAGTCTTCTTAGGGCAAGACGCGAAAAGTCTAAAATAACAAGTAAATAAATAAATAACAAATCGAACAGTTCGATTAACATCTTCGAAAAAATATTGAATTGAGATTTTTTTACGTCTTTGATCTTAAGGTTAATAATTTTAATTGTGAAACATGATAGAGCGATATTGTCACTTCGCTTTGTGCCGAGGGGGTACTTACCTACGAAAGTGATTTCCGATTTCTTGTATTCATAGTTATTTCAACGAGATTGCAAAGTGATTTTATTTGTTTTCCGACAGAAAGTTCGAGACGCGTGACCGAGCGTACGACATTTTTTTGTTCGATTTCAGATTTCTTGATTTCAATAAGGAATGTTTGACTGCCTCATTTACTGAATTTCTCGTTGATTTCGTAGGTGAGTAGCCCCTCGCTTTGTGCAATTTGAAAATCGTCAAGAGGATCGTCGGTAATGATGACTACAGGTACCCAGTATCCATAAAAGATACAATAGTGAAAAAATTGTTTTCGTCCATTTCGAATTTTTTCACCAATAGTTTGAGAGAGTGTTTACTTTTACTATCCGAGAATGACTCAAAAATAAGTTAAGTCCGTGCAATTCCATAAATGAATTATCGTTTACTAACAATTGCATCTTGATCTCTTATTATTGCGATTTTATGTCAACATATACACTATTCTTTTCTCTATTCCAGTTTAACATTAAACTGGTTATATGTACAAACTTCCCAGTGAACACAAGTTACATGTAACGATGTAACGTATCTATTAGTTGTAATTTCCCACTCAACAATGTAACAATGTAACACATGTTATATTGTTGATTGGGAAATTACAACTAACAGATACGTTACATCGTTACATGTAACTTCATGTTCACTTGGTCGTACATAACTGTCTTTATTGTCTTTGACTACATTTACACGGCACCTTAATCAGGTTTGATAACATCTGTATTTGTGAAATTGGCCAATCATAACTGTTCCTCAGAAGAATGGAAACGACTGTGATTGGCCAGTTGCATAACTACAGATGTTATTGAATTTGATTAAGAGTGCCGTGTAAATGTAGTCTTTGACTGCACATGGAAATCGTTGTTTCACGAAAAGATTTAATTTTCAACGCAAACGAGATGACCTACGTGTTGAATTGCTCATAACAGTTCCAGCTTCGTGGTATGAAAAGATCCAGGTAGTAATTGGAATGAGGCGGACAGTTCTGTCGGGCGTAGCACTCTATTGAGTACAGACTCACTATGATACCATCGCCAATGCCCCAGCTTATCCACATAAAGATGTTGCTGGTGATGATCTTGCGAACGAAGAACAAGGCGAAGCCTATGAATCCGAATAAGATAAACACTACAGGGTAGAAGAAGCCGAATCCAAATGCGAGTATGTATTCGTGGACGATGGCAGAAGTGAGGAATACAGCGGTGGTTGATAATAACCGATTGCGCGGCATCACGATTTCGTATATGTCCTTGTAAATGTACGTATACAGCCAATCGTGCACTACCACGTTCCACGTGCGGAAATACGTGTAGTAATTCGTGGAGTTCCACCAGTCCTGTAACATAAACGACATAATTCATCATAATTAATCATGAAACTGTAGTTTACAGAAGTTGACAATCCACAATTGCTTTCTAAAAATTATCGAATCAGTACGATATTGTGAATCCTCTCGTGTCAGAATAATATCTGCTAGTAGTAGCTAATATGTTCTATAACTGCTAGTAGTAGATATATGTGTAAATTTTAGGATTTCAATTCTGGAGCAAAACATACCTGAGATGTTTGTGTAATGGTTCAGATCTTCGAGAAACTTCTTGAAGCTTCATTTACATTGAAGTTTATAATAGCTTCAATGAACATAACTTCAAGAAGTATCCACGAAAGTATGAACAATCATACAAGCATCTTAACGATGTTTCGAAGGTCCAGAATTAAACTCCCAAAATGTACATTCAAGATTTCATATTTAGAGAAACTGGCACATACATTTACGTTCTCGCATATATTGAAGCAATAATATGATATATTACGTAAAAAATATTTGCATAATGGACATATAATTTTTATAAGATAGATTACTGAAGATGCGTATGTTTACTTTGTAAAACAATCGGTCCGCAAACTGCAGCATTTCCGCCCAAGCATTCATCCACGCGTGCAGCAGAAGGTATTGTCCGGTGATGAAGTAGAGAATGCTGGGGACACTAGTCTCGATGATATTTTTGACAAACCACTTCCATTCCAGATGTTGTGTACCGAGCACGTGATAAACCGAAAATATGAAGCGTTCCAGAATAAAGGTAAGATAAAAGATTGCTAGGCCGACTTCAACGAAATTTCGAATCACCACCATCCACCTGATTCTCTTCGTCCTAAGAAAATCAATCGTACTCTAATCTTGTTCTAAGGTCTCTTAGTATTCGTTTAATATCGCCAACATGACAATTGTCTCTTAAATATTACGATAAATTTGAAACTTTAAGTATATCATCGCATTGCTTTATTGACGGTTAGGATATTTTATTTGTTTCGTGGATTGTCTTGATATTTTTTCTAAAATTTTTTAAGCCATATAGATCCATTATTGTCAAATAGCAAGTTAAATTTCGTAATTAACAATTATGTAACTAAAGTTGTTTTTTATCGCACAATTAAAAGTTTACATTGTTAGCTTCACGAAGAAATTATGAAATATCTTTACCTAGGATATTCGTCGCGGTACACAAGAGTCGGTGCGAACAGGAAATACAGATATTGTGAGAATCTGGGGCCATTTGGTCGCGGAGTTTCACTGTGAGACTTGTACGACAAAAATCGGGTTGCTGCGCTTCTGACAAAAGCGTGACTCTTCATCAACATACGTATCTAAAAAAAAAGGCAAATATTATTTAGAAAAAAAATCCTTGGTCCAATATCTACTGTAGTTAATGATGAACTAATATTATATGCAAGATATTAAATTTATACGTAATTATATATCTCTCTTTTAACATCATAATTCAATTAAAACGCTAAAAGCCAATATTTAAAGATGCGTACTTGTTCTATAATAACAATCATCCTGCAACATATGGAGAGATTCGCGTCTAACATCGCCTTAATAGAAAAAATAATAAAGAGAAATTGGTACAATATAAATGCTGACAGCCAGCCGTAATCCCAAAATTTTTGAATGGAGGCTGTAAAAAGAAAGAACAGTTGAATTAAATTATTCGTATTGAATTAATTAATATTAATTAATATTATCTCTAATATGAGAATCGCTTTAATTAGTTGATATTATTTAACAATTTTTACAATTATTTGTGGATAATTATTTGTGCAATACATTGTTGTGTGCATATCAGTCTAATACTAAACCAATTAGTTAACACTATATCTTACGCTATAATTATTTTTAAAAATTGGGACCTAATCCTACTTATTTTTTAACTAAATTATTCCAATCCAAGAAATAATTTTTCTCAATTGATTTAATTTTTTGTTAATGTTTAAATTAAACACATTTATCTAAGCCTGAATTGAAGAGATTGTTACATTTTGGCAAAAATCGGAGTCGTTGATACCCCCAGAGGGTGAAAGCCACGTAAACACAGAGTGTCGAGGCTTGCATGAACGACCAAATGTAGATGCACGTTGAAAATTTTGCGAAACCAATTCCTATCGTGTTGGCACCAACGCGAATTCTGTAACAAATTGTGTAAAAAAAGAAAATTAGGCGATAAAAAAAAGCGTAAACAGGAAACGAATATATTGCAAACAAATATTTAAAATATAACCAAGTTGTTAGATAAATAATTCATTAATCAGATTTTTCTATCTTCCAACGAAGGTTCATCGCACTTGGAATAATTAGGTAAGTATCTTAATTATCATTATACAAATAATTTTCTAGACATAATTGTGAAATAATTGTGTCGTTTACTTCAATCTCACAATCGGATAATAAGTGTATAATTTTGATTAATGAGACAGTCTAAAGCTATAATAAGTGTGTGACACCGCAAAATATCTTTTAGAAATTTGAAACTAAAAATATTAAAAAATTTTAAAATTAAATTTGAAAATCTAAGATAAAAATTTTTTTAGAGAGACAGAAACTTAATTTAGAAATTTTGACTAAAAGTATTTATTTAACTATTAGTTATACATTTTTAAAATATATATTTACACATATTTTTTAAATACACACATTTCTCATGAAACAGTATTTATCTATTTTTTTCCTTTAAAATAACGAAATTGATGATTCTATGGGAGAGACAAAACAAATTATTTTTCGCATGTTATATACTTACGTTCCTGACTTCATAATATCGGATGCGACGGTACTGACAAGCAAGTACATGAAAGTCATAAAAAACAGATTGTAAATCGAACGAATGTGCGGAATCTCAAAGAGATCGGTGAGCAATGAGTTTCTTTCAAGAAACTCCTTATCTGGCAGCGTATCTTTCTTATTGGATTTCCTGCAGGAATATCAGAGATGCAAATATATAATTAAACCATATATATTTTAATAAATTTATTTTAATATTTTAATAGATTATATTCATATTTTTTACTTAAAACCGTTATATACTCTCAAATATTTTTAAATTAATCCTATCTGTATTTTTATAAGTATTTTCTGCTCAAAACTGTCTCTCTGTTCTAATTATTTCTCACTTTTTGTCGCGATATTTGTCCATCTTATACAAGAATCTTGTATATTTTCCATTCTTTATCGAAGGTATCTCTATCTTCTGCAGAATCTCGGATGTCATGTCATTAATGCGATTGTTTATGTGCTCCAAAATCTCCTCTCTTATTTCCTACAAAAAACTCTTTATACAAAAAACACAAACAAGACATCAGAGATCCATTTTTCATGAAACCTCATTTTATTTAAGCTTTTGAGCGATGTGCTCTGAGATATCGTCGTCCTTTTTTTTACCACAAACTATTACTCTTAGCTCCATAAACTTAATGAAACTATTTTAATTCACATTAAGTACGACAGATCAAGTCAAAGTCAATGATATATTTTCTCGTACCTGTATTCTTTTTCGGAATACAATAACCGATGTTTCACGTAAAACATCCGTGAATGCGTTTTCATTAGCCGCTGAAAAGAGAAACATATAAATATAATATATATATTAATATAGAAAGCAGAAATAATATAAATCTCGGATTAATTAATAGATTTATTGAGAATTTATATATCATTCATGCGAAGTAATTTTTGTTAATCAGGTATTGACTTGCTCCATTGTAGAAAAATCTCTCGACCTTCAAATTAAAGAAGATTAGGACAATATAATAACAGATAATATTTGAAATAGAATTTAGCTTTTAACATTATTTTCAAGTTATAATCATAATTATTTCATTACATGTTTTAATTTATGTCTTTGTTGATTATTAATTTTCAAGTTACAATATAACGATTTCTTTTATTATTATAATATGATAGTATCTAATAAAATGTAAATATATATGTAAATAATATTTATTTACTTTTTTATGAAATTGCTGTTTTGAAGTTAAAATCTTCCGAAAAAGCGCACACACAAATTTATATAATTTATTTTACTTATTTTTTTTTTAAATTAGGGTTATGAAAATTAATTTAGATGATAGCGACAATTAAAAAAGCGAAATAACGAAAATAAATTATTAAGTATTTTCGAGAAAGGTATTAAATTGTAACATCGCGACACACATTATATGTATTTGTATATTAACGTTCAATTATTAATTAACTTTGTAGTATTATTGCAATTGTAGAAAGGTTTTCAACTTATAGATAAACAGTCGACAGTAAACATAAAACCTTAGCTTAATGAATATACTCGTAAATACATTTGAAAATATGTTTATAATATATAATACATGAAATATAAGATTGCGAAAATAATAAGCTCCTTGAAATTTGATTAATTTTGCATAAGAAGGAATTAATTCCAAAATAAATATGATTTCTTAATGAAACCATTTATTTAAAAACGAGAATTAAAATAAAAAAATAAAGTTAATGTTTTTGATAAATTTTAATTAAAAATAATTTCTCCGAAATTTAATAAATAAGTCTTAATCTATTATTAGAAATTAATAAACTTAATAGTAAAAATATGATTACCTCTCTTAATATGCATTAATAAAAAAAATGTAAACAATATAATATATTCAAAAATATAAAAAGAGAACAATATAATATATTTAAAAATATTAAAAATATAAAAAGAGAGTAATTAAAATTTATTTATATTTATTTGTTTATTTTAAATAGAAAATTAAAAAACTGCACATTAAGAATGCTAAGAGAGAGAAATATAGAAAAAAAAATATTTTCCAGAAAATTTCATATCTTTTATGGAATTTAATTATTCTATAAATAATAGAACTTAATTATCTCAGAAATTAAGATTGTTATGAATCTTATGATAAATCGAGTTATTTATTTACCATTTTTATCTTTCTCTTGAAGGTCTGCATTTACTACACTGGAATCTTCACAGTCTATGGTTTCTGTAACAGAACTCATAACTAATTGATGATGGTCCGTGGATCTTACAAAAATTCTTTTCCGAAAATATTACACTCCGGACTCTGTGTCACGCTCTGAACGTAATTTTTGTGATTTTCTCAGAAAAAAAGCTCCGAACCAATTTATATAAACTGAAATCTATTGGATTTTGAAGCGATGGAAGATCTCCGATCTGCAATCCACGCCTCGCATGTTGCTATTATTTCTTAATTAGCAATTGTTAATTTTCTTTTTGAATTCCCAGAGTACAACACTGATGTTGATGGTGTTGATGGTTGTTGGTCTAATAGTGTTCGACCGCGAGATGTGAGCTGCTCGATTCCAGTCTCAACTACTGTGTACGCGGACTATCTAAACGGCTCGATCGTGTTCATCCTACCATGAGTATAGTACACACTGATTTATCCTTAGAAAACATGTGTTCTGTGGCTGATAGATCCTCGAAGGGACATGTGACGTCGTACGCATGCGTACTCGTGCCCATTGTTTTTCATTCCCTCCGAGTTATTATTATTCGAGTTTAGGAAGAACACGCGCTAATAAAAAAAAGATCTCTCTCTGATTGTTTCCGATTTAGGCTCGTTTCTACCAACATAGATTAACTTTAATTTTGGTTCAACTTACTCTTCATCTTTTTCTAATTTCTAGAAGTAGAAAGAGATGAAGAGTTAGTTGAACCAAGATTAAAGTTAATCTACGTTGGTAGAAACGGGCCTTAAAGAAATAAATTTATTTTTATATTTAGCAAACTTCATAATTTTAAATAAATTTTAGAGAGAATTTTAGAATTTTATATATTTAAAAGTAAATTAAAATTTGAAAAAGCATATATTTTTAAAAGTAAAATTGAAATAAATTTCAGGAATCATCAATCAAAATGTTATTATAACTGTAACTGTGTTAATTCACAAATTATTCATTTTCAATTTATAATATTTTTTAATTTTATTTTTAATTTTAAAATATGCTGTCGGTTATTTTCATTGCATTTTTTTCTGTCAGTTTAGTCAATTTTTGTTTTTGCAAAAATAAATCATGTCGTTTATGATTATGGAATAATAAATTTATTGAAATTGAGAAGCTTCTAATGAATTTTGTAAAGTAAACAAAATTATAAAATTATATTCTTCAGTTAACTTGGGTTGAGCTTATATTTTTTCAATGAAATCTTAATTTGTTATTTAATTAGAGATATACGATAATAATGCATAAAAATTGCCACAAATAGTTGATCCGATCTGAAATTTGTATAATAAGAAATCTTCGAAATTAAAGAATCTTTTATCATAAAATGATTGCTTTGGTAAAACGAGCAACTCTAATTACGCTTTATAATTATTTTTCGTATCTTTAATCTCTTGACATTTTTGGCGACACCCGCTTTTTTGCATTCTTGTTCGTGAATTAATTTGATATCTTGAATTTCACGACTCGTGTGCAAATATCTCGGCTGACTCATTGCAAAATGACAAGGGTGCATATCTTAAGATAAAACTAGCTGCATTAGTAACTAACGATATTGAATTAATTTGCATCAATTATTTGTAATGTTCTGTCAATGACTGATTACAAGAATCAATTACTGAGATTGGAACTTTAGTCACTTTTATTCTTTTGTGTCTTAGAATTAATATGTTTTTTACAAATAAGTTTTTTCAAAGTTTTGAGTAACGAGATAATCGTGTTGATTTCGTATCTGTTTTTGAACAATTAATTTTGAATAATTATATTTAAATCGTTTATTATATAAGAAAATAAACAGTTTTGGTTTTAGGAAGAAATAATATTCGTACTCTTTCGTGTACTTAGTAATATTCCAGGATCAAAATGTGTTTTTATATAATATGGAAATTACTTGCAATTTGAATAAATAAAAAGATTATTACAATATATATATATTATAATATCATTGATATTCATAGATATTCACAATACATAATAATTAGATAAAAATAAATGATTTATTAAGACCGTATGTGAGAATACACAACAAGTAAGAATATTAAAGTCTATAACAGTCGAAGCTGGATCTTTAATGCTTAAATAATTCAATATGAAGAAAAATGCGTTATTGTTTCTACCGATTTATTGTTATATCGATTATTGCGAAGAATATTACTAAGGTCTCGGTAGTCTAAAGGCTTAGGACGCTCGTACGAAATATAAGAAATCCGGATTCAACTCCCGACCGAAGTAATATTTTTCGCAATAAATTTATTTACAGTTTTTCAGCACATTAACATCTTTCTAATATGATACCGGATTGAGCATCAAATTATTAAAATTTGCTTGTCAATTTAATTTAATTTGTAATATTATTACAGTAGTTTAATTGTGTTTAAGTCCGGAAAACCAATTTGCGCAGTTCGAATGACTACAAATATAGTATATATGCATGTACATATATAGTATATATACAGGGTGTTTCCAAATTAAATCGCAAAACTTCGGGAGCGTGTAGAGGAGTAAAAAACTAAGAAAAAAAGTCCATAGACATATGCTCGTTTTTGCTCCGTTTCAGAGAAATCGAAAAAA